TAATAATGCATTTTATTTATAAAGCGCCTTCAGGACACCCAAAGACGCTGTACAATAAAACAAGTAAAGTATGAACAACCAAAATTTCTACTTAAGTAACAAAGTATTTGTACTTAATTACTTGACACCTCTGGCAATGGCCCATTTAAAGACAGACCTGAAACCAGAAACATCTGYACACCTCAATAGTTTAAGCTGGTGTACACAGTAATGTAAAAACTGGGCCAAACTTCCTCCAGGTTTTCATCATATCCCAGCTAAAACACCCACATGGTAAAAAGTGTCTGGTCCAGATCTGGCCCACACAATGCACTWGCACTTGATCCAGATACCACAAAGAACGATGGTGCTTTGGTGGCCCAGATGTGGTCCATGCATGGGTCAGCATCACATAAACCAAACCACAACTGGGCCAGTTGTGGCATTCCAACTTAAAAACAGCACCATCATTGCCAGATCTGGCCCACATTTTTGACTAAACCCTTGTTGTGGCAGCAGAGTCAGTTTTACATAAAGGTTAAAATTATAAATTGACAGCCTGACACCTGCTATGTGGGCATCTTCTGCACAGGATAAATGTGGATCTGATTCAGTCAGATTCTCACCGTAAATAAAGAAAACTCAAACACAAAGAGGAGAGTCAAGACTCATGACGATTCCTTGGATATTTTTTTTTATTAAAAAGTAAAGAAGACATAAGTCAGTCACCAATGCTAGCCCGTTTCCCCTCCCATGATCATTATCTGGTTAAAACATTTACAGATGGCAGTGATTTCTGATGGTCTGACCCGACCCGCTCGTCAGCTCTGAACCAGGTAATCTGGGAGAACCACGGTTTTGTCCTTAGCATTTTACACGAGAAACCTCCAACCTGCCCAAACCCAACTTTTAGACTATAAATATATATATATATTTATAAAAGTAAGTGTAAAAGCGTTTTGCAGTTTCATCTAAGAATAAAGAAAGCATTTACAGCTGGATCTGACTCGGAGAAGGGCAGTCACCTTTTGGCTTGTTCGCTAAGAAAAACAAACAAAAAAAAAAACACAAATAGTTTGTCGTAATGAGAATAAAGCCAAATTTAAACAAAATATAATCAAGTAATTAGATGCCAAATGGATACAGGGAAATGTGGATGAGAACAGCACTAAACAGCATCACACAGTACNTTTGGCTTGTTCGCTAAGAAAAACAAACAAAAAAAAAAACACAAATAGTTTGTCGTAATGAGAATAAAGCCAAATTTAAACAAAATATAATCAAGTAATTAAATGCCAAATGGATACAGGGAAATGTGGATGAGAACAGCACTAAACAGCATCACACAGTACAGACAGAAGAGGGCATTGCCTCATCAGAATACACAAATATATAAATATATACAAACACATTGCTGGCGACTTCAAAAAAATAACTTCTCTTGATTTAAGAATCTGCTTTTGATTTTTCTTTTTTTCCCCCATTGAGTGTGTTTGCTACAAAACAAGTGTGTGTTGAAGTTTCTACTAAACCTTTTCAGGAGCCAAAAAGCAGACTCTGACTTTAAAGGAGTAGAGCGCCTCCTGGTGGCTACAACACAAACCCTCATCACAAACACTCAACCCAACACAGCAGCAACATGTTGAATATAAAATGCTGTTGCAGAAAAACTAAGCCAGATGTGTGTGTGTGTGTTAATCTGTGCATTGACTGGATGTGACTCAAGTTCACTAACAAGTTCTCATTTACAATACCAAATATTGTGCAAAAATATATCAAATATTCTTAAAAAAAAAAAAAAAGAAAGAAATGCCCGCTTTCCCCAAGGAAAATAAAATCACACTGTCTTTAAATACTGTTTACAAACATTTATGCACATATTTTGTTTGTTTTTTTTAAAGTATGGTCCTGCAGCTGCTGTCTTAAACAGCTGCACTTTACACAAAAGTTGTAAAAACAGTTGGATTATTTGAGGTACCGGGTCTTTTAAAGTGGCGGGGCACTACGGAGGAGGAAAAGGTTGAACAGCTCTACGAGCCAAAAGTGGTTTCAAGTCAGGTTTTTTTTATTTTATTTTATTTTATTTTAATGTGACGGGACTGTAAGTGTGATCGAACGCCTCGTCCCAGTAAGTGAAGCTGGCCTGAGGGAAGAAGACAGAAAAAAAACAAACTACAACTAGTAAAATCCTACCTGTTTTAACTTGTTTACAGGACAGATTAACAGCTGCTTGTTTTTCAGCTAAGAGCATTGAGTGAGTGAAAACAGGAAACATCAGACAGACTACTCTAATCCAGTAAAAGTGATGCCTTCTGTTCAGACAGGACCGATGTAAACTCTCAGATGAATTTAAATCGACACCTGTGTGTGCTGATGAGTTGTTTAAGAGCTGTGACTTCTCCAGAACTGGAAAAGTCTCGTATTTCTTGGCTGAAAAGGAAGTCACAAATACTAAACAAGTTACAAATATAAACGAGTTTTCTTCCACTTTGTTTTTTTTTTTCCGCCAAAATGTGAGCATAAATTTATCAACATAAAGAGTCATTCTGAGGGTGAAGTCCTGCTGGCTGTAAGAGGAGGAGGAGGAGAGCTCGTAGTTGATTCTCTGAGGAGTGGACAGACATTTTATAATAAAAAATTTAAATCAAATAAAGAAGGAAAAAGAAAGCAGCACGCTGGACTTCATGAGCGTTTCTGCCTCTTGGAATGTCGCTGCTGGTTGGACCGATCCTCGTCGGTGGTCTGGCGCCCCCGCTGACGAGTTCTCCGAGTGTCCCGCTCGCCGTCGCTGTCCTGCTCCCTGTAATCCCTCCGGCCGGAGGTGACGGTGCTCCTCTTACTTCTTCTCTGGCTGCCACGCTCATCTTCATCCTCCTCATCCTCCTCGCTTTCGCTCTCCTCGTCCTTGCAGCCCCGGTTGTTCCGGCTTCCCTTTCTGCTCGATTTGCCGTTCTGCAGCTTTTTCTTCTTTGGCTCCTCCTCCTTGTCATCTTCCTCCTCCTCCTCCTCTTCCTCAGACGAAGGCGGCGCTCGGCAGACGCGTTTGCGAGTGCGTCGCCGGAGGTAGCTGAGGCCGGGCAGCTGCTTCTGGAGCAGCTCCACGAAGGCCTGCTCCGTCTTGATGGTGCAGGAGAGCACGGTGCTGCCCTGCTGGTTGTACTCCTCAGAGTTGGAGAAAACCAGCTTCATGTCTTCCAGGAAGTCCTGAGGGTGGTGGTAYGAGCCCTGGCTGAACTTCCCCTGCATCGTCTGGAAGTCCATGGGCTCGGAGATGATGTCCAGGTAGTCCTCCGCCTCCTCCGGGGAAACCGGCTCCCTGAAAGGCAGGAGAACACCAGTTTAGATTTTGTGAGAAGAAACATTTAAATGATTCTRGTGAAATTGTACGGTTCATGTTATTCTATTTGTACTTAAAAGGATCCATGATTAGTTGTAACATTAGACTTTATTTAATAAACATATATTTAACTGTAAAATAAAGACTGTAAAAATACTGTAGGATGTTCAGTTTTTATAATTTTTAACCTAAAGGTTTAAAATAAATATATGTATTATTACATGGACAGGGTCATTTTATTTACAAGCAAAGCATTCTGGGTAAATGATGACGTGGTTAGGTCCTCGGTGTGAGCGAGCTATATCCACCCTGAATGTCTGATATCTCTACTCGGCCTGTAACTGAAAATATGGATGGAGGACCTCAGTTTAGCTTGTTTGTCACATTAGCACTGAGCTAATACATTTAAGGCAATATAGCATTGGCGTTAGCACAAAGGCTAACAGGCTAAGCTGAGGTTCTTCTTCCATGAAGCAGCTCTGTTGTCCTCCATCTATATTTTCATTTACAGTCTGAGTCATTTCTACCTTCTCCTCTCTGTCAACGCTCTCTGGTTTCATTTAAAAGAGTCGATCATCAGATATTGTCCAAGATTAACCTTCAGGGTGGATATAGCTCGCTCACACAGAGGACCTATCCACGTCATCATTTACCCAGAATGCTTTGTGTGTAAATAAAATTGCTCCATCCGTGTTAAAATATATTTTTAAACATTTACAACAGCTTACAGTATTTTTACAGTCTTTATTTTACAGTAAAAATAAATGTTTATCAAATAAAGTCTAATGTTAAAACCAATCAGGTTTTAACATTAGGCTTTATTTAAATTYACATCAGGTTTAAACCTGATGTGAATTTAAATATTCAACAGAGGTAATACTGCTTGTATTTTCAAACTCACCTGAACGGCCAGCTGTAGCGGAATTTCACCAGTTTTTTCAAGATTTCTTCACATTTTTCCAGCTCCAGCTTCTGTCTTTTCACTCCCATCCGATTACTCTGCCTCACCTGCAGGAAGATACCCAACAAGACGATCAAATATCTGCAAAACCTCTAAACTACCAACTGTTTTCCTCTGGATTTATCGTTAGAACTTCTCACTAATTCATCAATGTCTGCGAGGCTGCTGGGGCCAGCTTTCTGCTTGCTGCTCTGACTGCTGGAGGACGCCGGCTTCTTCGGTTTACTTTTGGAGCTTTTCTGCCGAGATGATGAAGACTGCTTCGTCTTCTTCCTCGGCCTCACTGTAAACAAGAAATAAAGACGCAGGCATCAGCATTTTATTAACGTCACAATTGTGGTGTGAAATCTGAAAAAAAAATTACTAAATTATTGCTTAATGAGTTTAAGTTTCATGGCAGAAATGACAAAAAACAGCTGTGTTAAAATTCCCTCCTGAGCTGTTGAGCTAAACCTCTTTATCGTTATTCTTGACATGCAGGCCTGAGCTGACAGAGGGGATCATCCTGCCACATAGTTTAAATGAAGCCAGAGTGAGACACCAAAAGCTTCAAAGCAAGCTGTGCTGCAGGACAACAATCAGACAATAGAGGCAGGACGGGARGATTTTTCCCATCAGCATTCCTCTCATTCCCAAACATCAGCACCAGGGAGACCAGTTTCCTAAAGCAACTCATTAAATTCCAGCCTAACCTGAGTTTTAAACCACACTCTGTAAAATAACCTCATGTGGCAGAGGAATGCTTTGGTCATCAGAGGAGCCAAATTTCTTAAATTTTGTTTTTTTCTTCTTTTTTTATTTTGCAGACACTCACAGCTGTGTCCCATGGCTTTATAGTCGTTCTCTTCTTCGTCTTCCTCATCTTCTTCAGAGCCTTCTTCCTCAGGCTCTTCCTCGCTCTCTTCTTCATCCGTGTCTTGGTTGTAGTTTCTGAAACAAAAAGTTTTACAGGAGCCACAATGTTTTAGTGATTCTGCTGTTTATGTTCAAGTGTGAKCTGACCTCTGTGTGGACTGGTTCTTCACGAGAGAACAACAGTTTAGTTAGATCAGGTCTGCAATCATTTTAGTGTTGAACTCAGCTGTTTCTCTAAAACTACGCTAAGAAGTGTGAAGTTGATCAAAAGTGGTCATGATGTTAAATAAAACCTCATTTAATTTGTCAGCACCACTTTGTTTACTCCATCACATAATGTTCTGCTCTATCATATCTCAGGAATATGTTTCTAACTCTTCAGTGTGTTCCAGTGTTTTTACCTGGAGCGGGAGCCTCGTCGGGCCACGGTGGGCTGGCAGGCCAGGCACAGCCACTCCCCGTCAGGGATGCGGTACAGAGCCGGCCGCAGGCACAGCAGATGGTAGGCCTTGTTGCACTCGTCGCAGAGGATCAGCTTGTCATCGTCACCTTCGTCACAAAGAAATCCTAGTAAATTTAAAGGCTCAGAAAACAAACTGGTCTTCAGTCCCTGAAAAATAAAGAGATTTAAAATCTGCAGAATGTCGCCGACATTTCTGCTCTCTCCTCAGCTCTACGGGTTCACCTGTTGCTTTTCGGAGGGGYTGACTCTGAGTGTAGGCCTGCCTGACAAAACTAGCCTTTTCTGCTCTGAGCTCGTGGATTCTGCTGCCTCCCTGCCTGGATGTGGTCCTAGTCTCCATCAGCCTCAGCAAAAATGGTTTCTGCCTGAACGCTGGACAGGGAACAGAGAGTGGACCAGCAGCAGCAGTGACATCGAACTGTTCCCGTCAGGACAGTTTCTGAAGCGACGTCTGAGCAAAGCCACACAAAATGAGAGGAACAACAAAGCTTACCTTTCTTGCGACAAACTTTGCAGCGAGAGTTCTCGGCAGACATGTCCCACTTGATGCAAGCGTCCAACATTCCCAGCAGCACGTGCATGCGAGAAAACGTTTGGGCCTCCCTGATAGCTGCTTTCCACTTCTCCACCGCGGTGGCTACCTAACCAGGAGAAAAAACACGTTGTAACACRGCAGTTCATGCAGCGGACTTCCACTAAACACACGAGTGAAACTAAAGACTGAGGTCTCTGTATTCTTACTCTGGCCTCCTCTGCGAGTCTCTTCTCCTCATCCACCTCTTCAGTCTTGCCGCTTTCCTCCGCTCCTTGTTTCTTCTTCTTTTTCTGCTTCGGGGCCATGAAGCCCTGCAGGAACTTCTTGACCACGCAGGCCTGAAGAGTGATGATACACTCGCCGAATTCTTTCAAGTTCTTCATGTTTTTCAACTGCAAACAAATATTTGAAAACACAGCAACAACGTGATGATGAAGAGCCAATAGGGAGGACTTTTGTAGATTATGAGAGGTTTATTCGGACTGCTTTAAATTAGCTTAAGCAGTCGGACTGACCTGCTCTTCAATGTCCGTGGCATCGTCCATGTAACCCAGTCCTCCCTTCTCCAGTCTGGAGGCCACTTCCTGGATATCGCTGCGCAAATATTTGAGCAGCTCTTCGTAGCCATCGCAGGTCCTGAGACCCACTTTGGCCTTTCGGGTCAAATGGATGGAGTGAAGGATGTCCTGGTACCTGAAACAGTAAAGGCTTGCTTTGGTATCCAGCTTCAATAAACACTGCTGTTGGTTTACAAAAGGCTTAGAAGTACGAGAAGAGCAAAACTCGTAATGTTTTTAGCCTAACAATCACGTGTTTAGTGTGCAGTTATCTCAACTTTAAAAAGTCTGTTTACCTGCTCTGGATCTTCGCCTTCAGCTCACTCTCTCTGACCCCCTGAGGATGAAGACTGTCCACCAGCTCTTCCAGTTCAGCTGGGCTGTCAATGATGAACCTGGGTTTAAAGCAGGAGGGTTAAAAACAAACAAAAAACACAACAACAAAATAATAATAAAAAAAGTGAAAGATTCGTACCAAAGGTTCTGTCCCTGCTTGGGAATGGTACTTTCAATACAGACGTCCGGTGCTGCCCCCTGCTGGGCGCCTTCACTTACAGCACCATCCACACTTCCATCGTCTTTTTCAGCTTCTGAAATACAAAAAATAATTCACCATCTAAATAAAACACTATTAAGAAAACACGATGGAAAAATGAAAAGAATTCAGAAATCTGGAAGCCAAAGAGACAAAAGGTTATTTCACAAGGAACAATAAAACACTGCACCTTGTGAATCAGGGGCAGCAGCTGCTTCAGTGTCTTCCTCTTCCTCCTCCTCCTCTTCTTCTTCCTCCTCCTCCTCCGGATCAGCTGGCTTCTCCTCAGGCGGAGGAGTGAAGCTGTAGTCGATGCTTTCGTGCACCCAGCCTTTCTCGATGTACAGACCAGGAACCACGTCTGAGAAAAGCCAGTATCTTCACAAAAAACATCACACAAATCAGGGTTAGTTATTGATGGGCTGAAAGACATATGTTGTGTATTCTGCTTTGACCTTGGTCATATCATACTAGCTGTAAAAAATACACTTTACCAACCTGTTATGGTTTCTGTCTGTACCGAGTGGAGTCCGACGCATCACAAGCTTGGCTTTGGTTATTCCATCCTGGAAGGCCTTCTCTGTGGCAGCTCTCTGTTTACGCACCCGCTCCTCCTCTGCCTCCTTCTCCATTCGCTCTAAAGAAGAAAAAGAAGCAACTTTTATTTATAGTGTACTGAATTTTAGTAAAAATATCATCCAGGGTTCCCACACCTTGGTCAACATCAAATTCAAGGACCTTTCAAGGACTTCCCAGTACCAATTTCCTCAAATTCAAGAACCATGCGACGGCAGTTACCTACTGCTACCACAGAATGTTACCAATAAACAGGTTTAATTTCATGTAAATTCAATAAAAACAGAACAACATACAAGAAAGTGAATTAACTGTGCACCCTACATTCACATCCACAATATATGGACATGTAATTATGTCCTGGGAGGTTCAGCAGCTCAGTTTGGGAGGAGGGTATGTGAACATGTCCAGACGCTCGGTGGACAGGAGGAGCTGTGGTGCTCTCACCTGGGCTCAGAAAGAAAGACCCGCCCTACTCTGCTCTGATTGGGTAAAACTATGACTAGGGCTCACGTTATTTGTTTAAAGCCACATCAGTTTACAGTAATCCTGAGTTATCCACTGCAACAAATGTAAGTTTTTTTAAATTTTATCATAATCATCATCATCATTATTACTACTACTACTACTACTACTACTACTACTACTACTACTAACTACTACTACTACAGATGATGAAAATCAGTTGTGTGAATAGAGAACTTGAATCCCCAAAAAAACATTCAAGGACTTTCAAGGACAAGTGTAATTTTTGGCTGTTTTTACAAACTTTCCAGGGCCTTGTAATCATTTTTTCAAATTCACAAACTTTCAAGGATATCAAGGACCTGTGGGAACCCTGAGAGACGCTTCAAGGTACATGTCCGAACCACTAAGGTGTTTACCTTTGTTTTGTCTGTCCTGCTCCTCCCGCTCCTTCTTGGCCTGCATAGACATCAGCCTCCGGCTCTTCACTGAGCTGATCATGTCCTCAGACTCTGGCTCCGGCTCCACCTTCACATCTTTCTTCATCTCCTTTTTGGCACTGCCCTCTTTTTTCTTTTCACCTTTGATACAAAAAAAGGGAACTTAGTTTAACAGAGTAAATATTTTGAACTTGTGTGAAACGTAAATAGTAATAAACCTGCACACCTTTGATCTCCATCTCCTTTCGCATCTTCTTCTCCGCCCTCTTGCGGTCGTTGACCTCTTTCAGCATGGCCAGACGCTCCCGCCACAGTTCGGCGGAGCGCTGCTGCGTCGCGTCGAAGTGGTCGACCACGGAGTACGTCATCAGGATGCGGTGGCACAGAGCCACCAACAGGTCCACCTTCTCCTCGGAGCTCAGCTCGAACACCTCCACCGTCTCGAGCTTCTCCAGGAACTCGTTGCTCACCACGTCGTCGAAGTCACCCATGGCACCTGAGTCCTCTGAACCCTGGCCGCTCTCTTCGTGAGCGTCGCACGGCCTCAGGCACAGCCGCGTCAGCTCTGAGGCGGAGTGCATGGTGAGAGGGATCTCAGATAAGGACATGTCCAGCTCGCCATAGCCTTCGGCCAGCTCGTCCTGCAGCAGCGTTTGGAGCAGCACCACCAGCACGCGGTTCAGGTAAAGGAAGCCAGAGCGCTCCCTCGCCAGCGCTTCCATCAGAGCCACCGCTGTGATCGGATATTGGTCGTTTGGCATTAACAGGCCTGCGTAGCAGTGAAGGAACTCGGCGATCATTGCTATGCTACCGAACAGGGTGTTGGGTAAGCCCTCGGGCATGTCTACCAGCTTGAACATGGGCAGGGCTTTGCCACCTTCGATCTCCTGGTCTTCGTATCTACGGGATTGTTCGCGGCGGACCAGCATCTCCTTCTCCCGTCTCTCCTTGGCCTTTTCTCGTAGCTTCTCTTTGAGCTCCGCACGCTTCTTCTTCATCTCCTGCTCCTTTTCTTCCTTACTCATGGCCGCCCAGCGCCTTTTCTGCTCCAGCAGCTCCCATCGCTTCTGTACGAGCTCCTTCAGCTCCTCGGGCAGGCGGCCACGATCTTCTACGGACAACGCCTTTGCAGCTTTAGATATGAGGGAGGACAGGGCGTTCTTTTTATCCTCTTTGCCCTTGTTCTCCTTGTAGTAACGGAGGAGGTGGAGAGCCATGGGGTGCAGTGGTTTCCCAAGTTTAGGTGTACCCACGCTGCTGCTGCGAGCTCTCTTTTTAGGACTTCCTGCAGGTGTGCCCTTAGCCAGGTGTAACAGAGTCATCTGCTTCATCTTTGGCATCTTTGCACCAGTTTTATCATCTTTTCTGGAGGCTTTAAGCACGTTGAGCTTTTTATCGCCACTCTTTCCACTTTTCCTTCCCTCTCTTTTGTCCCCTGGCTTTTTGGCAGATTTTGGAGTGGAGGGAGCRGAGCTTTTCCCTTCTTTCTTAGGGGTTCCTGAGTTCTTCACCTTGAGTGGAGAGCCGTTCATCTTTATTTTCTAAAATACGAAGGTACGAAAACTCATTAGAAGAACTGTTATGGTCAAGGCGCGGTGTGATAACTTACTCGAACATATTCAGTTTGTATTACATTAATTAAAACCGTAAATGTGTGAAAAGACATTTAATAATCTGAAAACTGGCCACAAACCTGCATGTGAGCCCAAATGGTGGGACTAAGAGGCACGCTTAGAGAATCTTTCTTCTTTTTATCTTTCTTCTCTCCTTTCTCATTTACTGAATCCCCTCCAGGAGTGTCGCCCGTCTTAATCCTCTTTCTAGGTTTACCGTCAGTAGATGTCAAGCTCTTACGCTTTGTGGAGGGATTTTCTGCCAAAAACTTTAGAAAAAAAAAACGTGAGCCCAGAACAAGAATTCTTACAGATATCAAAATACACCCAAGAAAATACGAAGACTTCATTAACCTTGTGAGGATCAAGGAGGAAGTCGCTGAACTTGCTGGGCAGGTTATATTTTTTCACCAGCTCATCCTCAACCACCCAGGGAGCACTCTCTCCTTTGCCCAGCCTCAGGGCATTGTGCCTGATGAAGTAGCGCATGATCTCTTTGGTTGGAGGGCGCTCAGTTCTGAAAAGACTGTCAGCTGGAACATTGCTGATCACCTGTAAACAAAAAACATACATTTAGATCATAGTCTGTAAATCTGAAAGAGCACAATTACAAGTACTTCAGTTTGGGTACTTGCCAATACGAAGTAGTTAATTAGGTAGTACTCAAATATTACAGAATAACTTTAGTAACATTTTTTGTATTAAGAACAAAACAGTCTGTTTTAACATCAGCTGTGGTCTCCATACAGATTTTTCTTTTTTTTCTCCCTACAAAAGAAAATGATGGCACCAAATACAAAAGTACCATCGGTCCAAAGTATTGGGGTGCTTTGATGAATACAGGTATTTCAAGCTGGAATCATGCTTGATGCTAGTATTTGTAATGGGGCACTGCTAAACCATGCAATGCTTTTGGAGCTGCGTGTGGACTAGACTGCAAAAATGACCAGTTACAGCATAAACAAACAAACAAACAAACACAAAACTAACAGAGTAGAACAAATTACTACTGTATTTGTTGAAAGGTGATAAACAAACCTTGTCCTCGTTGATCAGCTTCACATCGTACTTATGAGGAAGGAATTTGGGCATTACCCATCTCTTCTTCTCTTCCTTCGTGGCAGTGGCAACTTTCCTCGGAGAGCGTCGTGCTCTGTCACCTACAACACAGCAAAAACACCGAGACTTAAAATAAGACGGCGTCAAGCATTAAGTTTAACATGGTCCGAAATAAATAAATAAATGGAAAAGCATGTTTATTGAAACAGTAATATCCATGCTGTGAAATGGTCTACTCTGTATTGATTGACACTTACTGAGACTCTCCCTTCTGTTTTCCTCCTCGTGCGGTGGAGGCTCTTTTCTCTGGTTCTCCTGGCTGGTGTTCTCCTTGTCACTGGATGGGGAGTCACAAGCTCCTTCAAGCTTCTTCTCACCCGACTCACCCTCAGGGTTTTCTAAAGGATGAATCTTCACCACTTTCACCCGTAAACTTTGGTCCTTTCCCACCTAAAAATCAAAATAAAATCACTCAACAACAGGAATCTTTGGTGCTGGGAAAACACCAAACATTTTTTAAAATCAAACTATATTCCCTGCAGAGGAATACATTCACAATGTGTAGAACTGACATGAATATAATGTTTATATGGACAAAAAGTGGCCAAATAAATATTAAGTTTACCAATTATTAATATTTTGTGCTCAAGTTTATGCCACTAATACATACAGAACAAAGCTATATTCTCCTAAATCACATAACTCCATAAAAGTAAAAAACAACTTTTACTGGAATGACTACTAAAACAGAACAGAATATGGCAAATAATAAAATAATTCTTCAATGTAAGAAAATTATTTTTTATTCACCGTGTCACCTAATAACCTTAAAAAACTAAATTGAGTTGCTGTGTAAACAGTTTTAAAGGAACATAAACAGTGGCAAAACACAATCCAAGAAGTCAAACTAACCAGGAAGTCGCACTCTTCGCCCACAGCATACTTRGTGAGGATTTCCACCCAGGCCATTTCAACCAGTTTGTCTAAAGACACCGTGTTGTGGTGAACCATCTCAAGGACYGGCTTCTCAAACCACAGTGGATACTCCTCCTGAAGCCTGCATACAAAACGTCAGTGCTGTGCTCAAAACAGCTTAATACCACAATATTAAACACTGCAGAACTGTTATAAGTGACCAGTTTTTAGTGCTGTGAAATGCTACCGACAGTGGCCGCCAGCTGGGGGAGTAAAAATCTCTTGGTTGTTATATTTAGAGTAGAGCTTAGGTACAGCTTATGGCTCTGACAGACTTGAGCKTTGGGCAGCTGAGCACCACTATACTTGTTCAAGTATGACTCAATCAATCTAAAGGAGGTGCAAAACACTCTACCCAATCATGCAAGAGCTTTAAGTCACATGACTTTCACAGGCAGAGATTTTATATTTTTATTATACTACTCAACTCCTGTTAGAGAAGCTAGTCTGCAGAGTCTATCGAAAGGTTTATAAAATCTGTTAATAAGAGCTGGAGTTTTACTGGACACCTGAAGGCAAATTACAGTCCCACCACAACACCTCAAACTGAGCAAGACAAACTATCACAATCAACAGAAATCAGATGAAGTTGTACTGACAGTTCTGTGACTTCTTGTTCCTCTTCCCAGGCTTCTTTGTGAGTAAGCTGAAGACTTCCGGTGCTCTTGCATATCCAGACGCGTTCATTATACATCTGCAACCGTGCCTCATACTCTCTGTACACATTTGGTCAAGGAAATTACAACAGCCAGACATAAGAGATCATCCTCATGCTTAGCAGACTGCTATTTATCAAAGAGTAAGATGCAAATGTAATTATGAAGCAGTTCTCAAAAATAGGGAGGGAAGATATGGATGGCAGAAAATATGTTTCGACTAGGGCTGGGCGGTATACCGTTTTGTACGGAATACCGGTTTTTATTTTTGTTATGATATGAATWTTTTGAATACAGGACATTCCGGTTTAAATAGCCCGAACACGTGCAGAACGTTTCGYCGCGGCCGCCAGTGAACTGTTRTTTCCCGGGGGACATTTTTCTTTGCTGCACCGCTATGTGCGTTAGCATGCTAATGTTTGGAGGAGCTATTTGCAGCCGCGGGTGGCGATTCTGCTGCTTATATTGACTGATGTTTTAAAAAACATCCTGTTTTCACCATCGCTGAATGTCGTAAACACCTCTTCAGTGACATGCACAGTTAGATTTAACGCGGTTAGTTAACATGGAGACGTTATGCTGATGGAGACTTAACGTGCTTCTATTGTGAAAAGCTGCAGGAAGTAGTTCGTAGCGGAGTTAGAATTGACTGGTGTGCAAGGTGAGTCGTGCTGATAAGCTTTAATAAATAACATAAAACAATAAACCCGATCATAATCTTTTCTTAACCCTCCTCCTTCACGACTGGACCAAAATGTGTGACTACTGTCTCCAACCACCAGTCAGAGAAGAACAGACACAGAGGAGGGAAACAGAGACACAGACAGAGGTACAGTAAAAGTAAAAAAAAAGTCAATAAGCAGGGTTTGTACATTTTATTATCAACTAAGCTGTGATGAAAAGAAAAATACCGTCAAATACCGTGAAACCGGTGAATATGTTGAAAATACTGTGATATAAAATTTTGATCATATCGCCTAGCTCTAATTTCGACTATGCTTTTCTGGTTGTTACTAAGGAATAGGGTTGGGCATAATCGTATCGTGTGCAATTAATCGTCAGAAAAACATTAATCGATTAATTTTTGGCAGTTGACAATTAAWACGATTAATGCCACCAGGCAGACTAACCGCTTGGTGTTCCTCTCTGATTCAAAAATGACCAACGTTAAAAAAAATTGTGTRATTTATTTATCTATCAACACAATTTAAAGTTTGATGTATAGCCTGAAGTCTGTAATTTTGACACAATTTGGAACAGATTTTTACRAAGAGCCAATTTTCTCCCTATAAATTGGTCATGTGACTAGGACATAAGGRTGTCCAGGGATTCATCGTCAAATTAATCGCTATCGGCTAAATATCACAATTAATCGTGATTAATTTTTTTGCCAATATTGCCCAACCCTACTAAGGAATAATAAAACACGCCATGTGGGGACGTAAATTATGAATGAAAAGATCTGAGACCCTGACAGCACCGCAATCATTTAATCAGAAAACAAAACTCTAAATAAATAAATAAATACATAAATAAATACATAAATAAATAAGACACTTCAGTGACTAACATAGCCATGTCACAACAGAAATCTACTTCCACTATAAATAAGGAGCACACATTTAGCCACGACATAAACTCACCTTTACGGGAGTCACACACAGACCATAACCTTGCTGACAGCTACGGGTCTCTGCCGCTCGTTTCCACATCAACATTAAAAAGAGTGGGTAAACAGAGGCAGCCCATACGTGAAGGTTTCACAACAAGTGATTCTGATTTTTGTTGAGGGTTTTTCCTTCAGCTAAAGGGGGACTGACGGTGCTAACAAGACGAGCTAGCTCCAGTCGGCGAAGCAACTGCTTTGGTCTGTCCGAGGCAAGGGAGCGAGCCATTGTGACATAATGGGATACATAACGTTAGCATAGCTGCTAGTTAGCCACGTTAGCGATGGTGGAGCCGCAAAACATGAAAGTTAAAGACACATTCCCGTGTTTCAAGAGCCATATTTACTGTGATACGTGTCGTTTAAATTACTACATTTATCACCAATTTGGTTTGTTAGCTAACAAAGCGGCTAAAACGAGCTGGTTAGCGGTTAGCTTGTCACCCAATGTAAAGTGAGTGCACGCGATTAAACAGAGAGAAACGACAGGGAACGTCACGCAGCCACCTTAACAGCCCTCTGCTGTGAAAAGTTTCATTTCAGCTACATAAAAAAGCAGGCCCTAAACATTCAGGCTGCCTATTCTATTCAAAGTGTCACGTTGAAGGATACTCTTTGTTCCTGAAGGCCTCYTTGGTGTGCTCGATGATGTAGACCTCGTCTCCCGGGCCTGGTGGCTCGGCTAACGGCTTAGCCAGTGGATACGGTTTCCGACCCAAAAGCGGTGCCATGGCAAATCCTCAAAAGGCGTAAAAAAATGCCAGAGGTGGAATTAGACTTTCTAGCGACCAACTAGTGCGATTTCCGACACAACGGTTTGTCTTAGCATGTATCTCGATCGACAGCAGGTTCCACGTTACCGCCGGCAGGCCCGGTGTGTTCAGCTACGGCGATGCAAAACAATAACAGTTCCCTCACAGGCGGCCTCATCACACCGCTGTCCGTTTCTCCAACAGYGGCGTCATGTCGCCTCTGCGTGCTGCTTTGAGATGTGTCGAAGTGGTCCACCGAGACAAGTTGGTAAAACTTTTAGCTCCTTCAGGTGAGCATAAAAAAAATGATGCGCACTCACGCCGAAATCAAACTCGCGGCAAGAAGCTCAGTTCAAGCAGGAGCTCTCCGTCGCTATAGTCCTGTAAATATGTACGAACCAGACTTGTTCTCGTTGAAACTATTGCCACTAAGTGCGGTCGAAGTTTCGAGTAAGCAGGTAACAGCGTTCAAGYGTCACAAGAAAGTAACGATCAAACAAGAGGTTAATTCCTTGCCGAAATGGCGGGAGTTTTTAGTCCACCGGCAYAAGAACGCACAACCCTCAGCGCTGTTTCCCCGGCAGCAAGAGGCGCCCGCACTCAAGCCCCGCCTTCTCTCAACGCTCATTGGCTGCCTAAGAATAATACTCTGATCAAATCACTTTGGTGGCTTCTCACTGGCTGATGAGGCCTGTCAATTATCAGTGTTACGCAGACGGCCCTCATTAAAACAACGCTTGCATAAAACGTAAATTAAAGGCAGTTATCTGAAAGCCATACACTATGGGATTTTCAACTCAATAACATTTATTTATATTTAATAATGTTTTAAGACTTAATAGAGAATTAATTTACGTGTAATTATCAAATTAATTTCCAACCACATTGTCTGAGGATCCATTTTGAATAGCCCTGTTCAAACAATAGGTTGCCCTGCACTTCCTTAAAGGAATACAAAGAAGCAATAATAGATAAAAATGAATATCCAATTATAAAAAGTAAAACAGTCCCTTTTTTTACAAACAAGTTTTATTATCAAGTTAGACAAGCCAAAGAATTTGTTCTAGCGAGCCCATAATACGTAATGGTACATTTAAACAACAATCTACAAAAAGCTATACATGAAATACCTTTTATGAGATTGGCARAAAAGCTTAAAAATTAAAGCACTAAAATACGGAAACATGCCAAATTTATCAGAAAAAAGAACAAATAAAAAAAAACGTGGCAGATTTCTAAGCATTGCGCACAGAAATGCACAATATGGCTTGGTACGTACAAAATTTGAAGGAAATTTCAATTCTGTTAAAATACTGAACAAATAAACTTCAAAGGCTTAAAGCAAAAACAAAGCTGTTAGGACATTTTTTTTTATTTTGCTAGCTGAAATGTTTTGAGTAATATTTGTGAAAATATAAAATTTAAACAAATCTTACAGCAATCAACAACCGGTAAATTGTGCAATTTGACAGAATAGTTATAAATAAGCTATCTGAGGGTGGCATTTTCCCCTGAACAAATCCTTTTTAAAGGAGGCGCTCCCGATTCATCCAGCTCTTCCTGTTGAAAAAGGAGGAACACATCAAGTTACGTAAGTGTATTATCATGTCTATTTTTATTCAACTCTTAATTTACAACATGCAACAAACACGAATCATACGAAATACTTTCTTGAAATTATTTAGCTAAAGTAAACCTTTGTGTCTGAGGCGCTCCGTCTTGTTCCTGAGGTAAGAAGGTCCTCCTTGATGAGCGTAGGTGGCTCATCTGCTCTGTCCCGTGCCGAATGAACTGGCTCTGCATTAAAAAACAAAGAGCAAGTGTGGAATTATATTGTTATTTAACATAAAGTTGGCAAAAACATATGCTAGTTATAAAAAAGGTATGTCTTCGAAATTTTAAGTGTGCTGGGAAAAACGAGACCAGGATTCAGGCCYTATCCACACAAAAGTGAGATTTTCTGTAGCCTTTGAACACAAATGGTTACATTTTTGGTGAGAAAACCTTTTTATATTTTCAACATTTTGTTTCTGGTGAATCTGTTTGGACAGAATAACACAGCAGATTGTTTTGCAAATATTCACTATCAGTTAGCGAATGAAGAAAGAGTTTGTGAAGAATTTTCAGCCAAACAAGATCTGTCTACAGCAGGTAAAATAAGTATTGAACACGTCAACATTTTTCTCAGTAAATATATTACTAGAGGTGCTAATGACATGTAATTTTCACCAGATGTCGGTAACAACCCAAGTGATCCATACAAACAAAGAAATCAAACC